CACAGTCTCTGCCTACCACTCAGCCTTTACCCACTCCTGAAGCCAGTAACCCGCAGTTCTACTCAGTAGACCCCCGATTTCCTTCACCAGATCCCACGTAGAGTACTCCTTTCTACATATACTATGCACCCCCACCTTATGCTGGTGCCCTTTCTACTTATTCATATCCACCATATGCTCCACCATACTATCCCCCACCACCCCATCAGCCTGCTACAGCTGGACCTTCGACACCAGCTGAACCAGAGCAGGCAATAGATGGTCGAATATTGATAGCACCTAAGGGTGACACGTACGTACATTTCCTTTTATTTAAGCTAATGAATATTTTTATTTTATATTATATATTTGTTTCACATAATCTTATTTTTGTAGGTTCTACCCACAAAACAACCGACATATAAAATACGGGACAGCATACGGAGCAGGTTTGACACTCCTTATGTTTCTTAGAATAATGTCTCGAAAGATGTCTGGGAAATGTGGTTTAGAGAGTTTGAGGTATTTTTGGGTATTAGTTTTTATGTTATGTATAATTAAATGATTTATTCTTTTTTATTTAAGCTATTAAACCTAAATATTATATATTGTAAGTATTTAAATGCAGAAAGATTTTTGTTGGCTGCCCCATCACAATGACAAAATTAGAAAGAATTTTGAGAAGCATGGGTCCACTCAGATGCACGACATGTTCACAGACATTAGAAAGTCTGGCAAGCGACTATTATGGATTGGAGAGAATATATGGGCTGAGTTGAACACTGCTTGGGTAAGCGCAGAGTATAGTAGGAGTAGGGATCAAAATCAACAGAATAGAGCTTCTGATGTTGGGGGCTTGGGTAGCTCCCTTCGTACTGGCGGCTCCATTCCATATATTGAGCACAGGCAACGTTTGGTAATGAATTTTAAATGTTTTTTTAATTTTTTTAATACAAATATTAATATAATTCTCTTAATTCTAACAGAAAGAGATGCTAGGTAGAGAACCTACTCATGTGGAATTGTATAGTCACACTCATAAGCGACAGGAAGATCAACAATGGATTGATGAGAGAGCAAAAAAAGCCCATGTAAGTATATGTGCTTAATAATTTTTAGTTTTAGTTTAATTATATATATTTATATTCTACTTTCACAGGAGGAATATACACGACTTCGAGAGAGTCATGCCGCATCAGGTGAGGGCTCTTCTGGCGGCTCTGTTGAGTATTCTGAGTACCGCATCTGGTCGCAAGCCGTTGGAGGAATGCAACATGGAAGAGTTTATGGTTTAGGTTCACAAGCTCAAGCATACAAGGGGATGACCTCCTCTACTGCATCCAGCTTCGCATCTAGTTCACATGAATCCTTACATACTCAACAATAATTGCCCTTCAAGCAGAGCTAGAACAAGGAAATCACAAGCTGATTGGCAAGTTCAGTTGCAAGCACAGGTTCAAATGCAGATCCAGGAGCAACACAATCAGTTGTTGGATGAAATGCACAAAATGAGGGAGCAGTTGAGTGGAAAAGAGGTAGCTCCAGCTGAGGAGGAGTCCACGGATTCAGAGTAGTTTAGTTTAGTCATATGAACTTGTTTATTTCTTTGAATATGTGTTATTAAACAATCTGTGATGTTTTTAGTTGGTTGATGCTATTGAACATTTTGTTTCAATGGATATTTATATTTTTAAGTATATGTTGAAGTTCTCGACATCTGTGATGTGGAACTGATATTGTATGTTTGCAGGTGTGGAAATTCGATTGTTGGCTGGGAAGGCAATTTCTTTTTGTTATTGCTACAGGTTTCCGGTGAATTTGGCATAAAAAATGTGATGGAAATGATGATACAATGAATCAGTGCAATCATGCCGACATTTTTTTTGCCAGAAAATGGCGGCGGCAAATGCGCCGGAAGAAAGTCGTTCCTTTATTTACAGCGCACCTTCCGGCGTCTTCACCACCGGCATTTTTCGGCGTACCCATTGCGCCAGAACCAAACCGTAGCTTTAGTTACGGCGAATCTATGGATTTTTATCTGCCGGTATTTGCCGTCGGATTTATACGTCGTAAAAGTCCGGCGTATATCGCACCAGTATAATCGTTTAGGTAACGACGTTTTGGCTATCATATTTTGCGTCGATAATGCGTCGGAGAGTGCGCCGTAAGGGTTTCCGGCTTCTTATAAACGTCAGAAGATATTTTTCGGCGCGCACCAAACCGACGCATCAAAATCCGACAGAAATGCTCCGGAAACCAAGGCCTTCCATCGGATTTTACGTGTTACTAATGGATATTGTCTGCCGGTAATACCGTATTTTCCTGTAGTGTATTGTCCCATACATCGCTCGAGTCATACAATATGATCATCACCAATCGACATATATGATTTGATTAAACAAATTAATCATAATTGTTTTCCTAATCATATGATCAATTTAGGGATGATTTTCATATATTGTATAATACAATGCATATCGTACAATATGATTTATACAAATTTGAATTATAAAATATTGCCTAAATTATGATTGGTGGTTGTTTTCATGATTATACATGATCGTCCTGTATGATAAGGACATCATCCTGTATGATTGGCTTAATCAATCGTAATTAACAAATGTTCCCTAATTAATAATTTTTCTGATTAACTGATCATCCAGTATGATTTTAATCGTACATTATGATCAGTTCAAAAAACTCATTTTCTTAATAATTTACTAAACCACACTCTTAAGTGTGTGTAAGAAATGTTACTCAACTTTAGGATCCACCAAAATACATGATTGACTCAAGAAAGATAAAAATTACATTTAAAGATTGAAAAATACAAACTTTGACCATTATCTACCCAATCTTGAGCTGATCAAAGTTACAAGTGAACTGTGTACCTAAAATATTAATGAGCAGAGCAAAATAGATATGCAATAAACTCAATTATCAGGAGTTAGCAGTGTAATAAAATCAATAATGTTTGTTATCATCAAAATCATAAGACTTGAGCCCAGATTTGTAACGTTCCCGTCCACTTCGACTTAAAATTTGGCTAGACCTTACATGCAAAAAACTATTCGTATTCCATATCTTTATCTATACTATTTATAAACATCTCTTGCAATTATTCTAAAAAAAATCTCAACCTTTTAAATCACAAAATAAGTCCTACCACTTCATCTAACTGAAACTCTTTGTATTCCACATCCTCTCCACTCATATTCCAAACATATTCTCAATCCTGCAAGCCTTTCAAAGTTCTCTCCGATCTTCAATTTCGAACTCCCGAAATCGATCGCTTTTCTCTAACATCTGATTTCTTATGGTGGGAATGGTCTGCAATTGCTCCTCATTATTCTCTCTCTCTCTCTCTCTCTCTTTCTCTATATCTCTCTCTCTCTCTCTCTCTTCATTTTTCTCAGTTTTTTGTTGCAATGCTTGTGGTTCCTATAGCTTTGGGAGCTCTTGGTATGGCTTTGATTTGAATGAAAAGTGCTGAAAGTCCTTCCTAAAATGATATGATAAATTTTGCTTGAATTGAAGTGAAAATTTATGTTTTATCTTCTTATTTTTATGGAAGTGGCCATTTATTTTTGATCTTCTTAATTTTGATAAATTTGATTGTTAGCTGTTTATAACATTTGTGTTTCTTTAATTACTAATTTCAATTTTTTTAACAAAATAAATTCGGAATGAGAACATTTTTTTTCATTTTTTAAACAAAATAAACTGTATTAGAAGTGTTGACACCCATTTTCACATCTTTATAAACACTATCATGCTATTAGGTTATTTTTGGATGCTAGAAATTTAAGTGAGAGAAGATGAAATAGTTGAAAAACTCAATATTATAAAATAATAATGAATATTATTATATTATTTACAAGGAATTTAAATAATGCTTTCATCTCTATCATTTAAATCAATTATCTCCTACTTTAGTAACCTCCTTTATGTTTTTTTAGGCTTTGGAATTTGAAGGCATACTGGTTGCAAAAAACAAACAGAAGTAGCCCTTTAACATAGCTTGGAAGAAGAAAAAATCTATACAAATATTTTATCTGTATAAGCTTTGAAATAGTGGAGGCATTTGCCTTTCACAATATTTTTATTAATTTGATTTAGGCAAAAATGGTTTAATGTGTATTATGTAATATTTTTGTCCTTAATAATTTTCAAAATTTTGTCAAAATATTACGTATAATACTCTTCAAAATTTTATTTTTGCCTATCCAACAATATTGTATAGAATTTAAAACTTAGTTTGCCATTACTCTTATTCAAGAATCATTGCTGGTTATGAGTATGTAATATTAAGAGTTATAAGGGTAATTTTTATTTTATTTTATTGATGTAAGATATTAGTTTTAATTTAATTTATATTTATTTATTTTCTATTTTATATTTTAATATTATCATGATTAGATGAGATCAAAATCATATATTTGTAATAAAATTTTAAGGTATTATTTCAAATGTGATTTGATTATTATTATCTCACTATTAATTCTATAACAAGGGTAATTTTTTATTTTATTGATGTGAGATATTGATTTTCAATTAATTTATATTTATTTTGTTTCTATTTTATGTTTTAAATTTATCATGCTTACATGAGATCTAAATCACATATTTGTAATAAAATATTAAAGTATTATTTCAAATGTAGTTTGATTATTATTATTGCACTGTTAATTCTATAACAAATATTTTTTTTTTCCCCAAATTTTAAAAAATTAATATATTTTACCAAATATAATTTTATATGAATAACTCTTGTATTTTTATTAAGATAATTATTATTGCAAATTTATCAATGCACTTACTAATATATTTTTTGATTCATATTATTGAAGAAATATAATTTTAAATTTTTAAAATATATTTTATAAAATTTATTCACATCCACGTGCAATTTTACTGGTAACAGAAAAATGCCAATACAAAAAATTTTTATTTTTATTTTTTGTTTAGGCAAAACAAAGTAAAAGTCTGGCTATGTAAAGACGATGCTATAACATCGACAATATGTACATCAAGTGCAGGCTGTCGTCCTTCGCTACACGTGGTCAACGACTCTCACTAAGCCGCTTCTTCCCTCAGTTTTTTTCTGCGATCGCTAACTCGTGGTCAACAACTGTTACTAGAGCCACTTCTTCCTAAGTCGGACTTTTTCTGCGAAATAGGGATCGCGTGCAAGATAGAACGAGAGCAATCAAGATGGAGTATCTCTTAGTCCGATCAGCTGTAGCCCTGCTGCTCTCATCGGTGATCTCCGCGGGAGCGCTCAGGCGGAAGTCGCTCGATCTATCAGGGGCTTTATCAGGGTTCTTAGTGATGGCGATCCACATCACGTGCAGTTACAGGTTGCGAAACACCCATCTTCTGCTGGCTTCCTTTTCCTCGAATCGACTTGTGCTGGCGCTTCTGATTCTCTTTGGTCGTGTCTATCTGAAGGTTTGGGGCTCTCCTCCTAGTTTTCTTCTTCACTTCATCCAAGCTCACCAGGCTCGGAGAGAAGAAGAAGAGGAGCGTCGACGAGGAGTTCAAGGAAGGAGGGCAGCGGAACTGGTGAGTTTGTGATATTATTATAATGCTCCTTATTATTATTATGATTGGTATTACTATCATTTTAAACCTAAATAGATGGGATGGTTTTTTTGTTTTTTATAAATTTGTTCGTAAATTTCACGTTCAGAATTTTACACAGTCCCATCCTTCTTTTAAATTATGATTTTTGTAAATTTTTGCGCTGAAATAAATGGTCACGAGAGATATTTGTGGGGTTCTTAGAGTGCTTAAGATATGTAGTTGTGTGACATTTTGGGATTTTTATTGCTAGTGTTATTTTTATTCTTTTCTGCTCTATTTTATCTTACTTAGTTCCTGATATCTTTTCAATCCAAATTCCAAACAAAATTAATGCCAACTATGTTGGATCCAAATTTATTCATGGGCGACACTTAACCCTACTAGCTGGTTTAGCATGCTAGAGCGGGAGGATGGAGTGAGAGAATCAACTAGTATGGAGAGTAAATGTGGGAATGACTAAATGATCTATGTGAACACTAAAGATGGCATGAAGCGACAAAAATGTCTTATAAACCCTTATTTATACGGTTAAGTAAGCTATTAGAAAAAGTTATATATGAGGACCAATAGCGTTAACTCACTCTTAGATGGAGTTGATAGGTAGCCATGACCCCATGGTGGAGGAAGTTGGGTAGTCGTGGGATTAATAGATGTAAGAACAATTCCTCTTAAAATTTTGAGAAATATATGTTTGGGGTCACATGTTGCTGATCTAGAGTGAGTCTAAGATCCACTTGATCTCGAGCGAGTTTCTAGATCACCGGCTGAATGAGTTCAAGGTGCTAAGCTCAACTCGGTGGGCACTTGACTTATTTGTGAGGACTTGTCCTCTCTATTATTGGCTTGTTAAGATTTTGTTTAGCTTATCGTATAATAAATTCTCTCCGTGATCATTCATTTTGATAAGGACAACTCAAGTGGAGTAGGACATTACGAACCAACATACGATGATGTATGAGTAAAATAAGTGCGTCGCCACACAAATTTTGATTTTTCCTATTTTGTACTCAAATACTGCATTGAGCTTAAAGTACAGTCTCGTGAGACTGACACAATATTCTACAATGGATTCAATATCAAAATAGGTTTTGAAAAATGATATTTCTATGATCAAACATAATTCAAAGAATGACATATTATCTCGAAAGACGAACATGAAATTCTATCGAATGTGTTTAAAAATAGAAATAGGATTTTTAAAAAGTTTATCCATTCTTTTATTTAGGTGTAACAAGGAGAATATTATATCATTTTAAAAGACAAATATAACATTCTTCAATATATCCAAAAACAAGAATGAATTTTATAAAATTTATCATTTCTAAAGTTGAATATAATAAGTAGAATGTTATATTATCTAAAAAGACAATAATAACATCATACATGCATATTTAAAATTAGAAATGAGATTTTAAAGACATTTGCGTTCTCAAAGATTTTTTCCTTATTTTATAAGAATAAAACAAGGTTTATTTTAATCTGGAGTTCTCAAATCCCTATAGGGGCAATCCCTATAGTTAATTATATCTTATGAGGGATGCTCCTAAGAAAACTCTCGATTAAAGCAGCGATTTCATACCCTTTGATTACAAAGTAGAAGACAAGGAAAAATGTAGGAATTTTTCTAGGAGAAAGCTCAGTGTTGAACAGTTATTATCGAATCAAAGGAGGAAAAGTAAGAGGTGTCGGATTCTGAGAAGTTTAGAGATAACCTCAATCTACCCTATATTAGGCTTTATATATGAGGAGAGTTTTTTAATGTTTGAGTTGACATTTTATTAGAAAGTTGAGATTATATTCTCAGAGGGTGAGGACTTAAGATTTAAAAATCTGCCTTAGAATCTAAATTTAAATTGAGTACTACAAAGTAGTAACCCGAACCTATCTAATGAAGTGTAAATCTGGACTTACCCCGGCCTAGATTAGGGAGCCAGCTAACCACCTAAGCGCATTAAAATCACATATCTGGTCTCTTTATGAAAAATAAATAGGGACGTTGTTTATGTTTTAAGGAATTAGGGGCCGACATTTAAGACATATCTTAATTGACCCCTCAACTTATGTAGGGTAAATGTTGCTTGAGAGCAGAATGCAATTAAAATTTTAGATTCTTTTAATTTGTATCTAATACAATGCTTGCTAATTGACTCGAATATAAAAAAAATGATTATGAAGTAGTTTTAAAATCAGGCTTAGAAAATACATTTTTTCTTAGAGATTGCACAACACCTCATTGACAGAACTGCTCCCTAATAGGACAGATGGTCTGCCAGAACCCGTATGCGGGGAGATGCCTAATAAGAAAAATAAGGTAATAATATTCATATGCTGACTCTTGGCAGTCTCGAACTTACTTCTTAGATTGTTAGAGTTTTTATGTGAGCCTAAAAGTTTTATTAGAGTTTCAAATTTAAAAATTTTATTCGTACCCTCACAAAAACTTTGATCGTATCCAGACTAAAACAAACACGACATGTAATAAAACTTAAAAAAATAAGCAATTCTACTTTGTAAAAAATATAAACAAATAAATTAAATTATCTAAAATATAATGTCCAAAGTTCATATGACAAGTGCTACTTTATTTACAATCTAGAATTTGTTGAAAAGTAAAGTGGTTGGGTACCACTGACAATAAACTCGGATTCTAATCCTAAGATCGACGCAAGTAATTCTGAAATGAGATATATCTTGTTTTCTTCACTTCTTCTTCATCTCTCCTTAGCCTTCTTTCCTTCTGGGAGCTTCTTGAATTCGTCGTGTCTGAATATCTAAATGAAAAGACACTCATCGTCGAAGAGATATTTTCTTCTCTTTGGATATTAAAATCATTATAACTTGGCTTTTCAAATAGAAGAAAACATTTCCATAAGGGATATTATCTTATCTTTGGATTTCAAGTTGGATGTGATATCCAAGTTTCAAGTCACTTTCACATCACAACTGTTTTTCAAACACATTTACATTACATCTTAGATTAAAAAAAAAATTTAGACCGCCTGCAAGATTATCCTAAATAGTTAAAATAAAAATCATCCAAGCAGTTATATATTTGTATTTAAATTAAATTTACCAGCCACACTTGATCATGCTCTTTAATTTTAAAGGGGCTTAGCATTTTGCACCTGCAGAAAATTTATGTCAATTTAAATCTTTAATTTGCCCCCTTTGATTTAGCCTTGCACGAGCATGACCACTTGCATAAAATTCTGTGAGCATTCAGATCTTTTCAAACCTAGGGGTAATCTATCTCCCATCATATCAATTCTTAGATTGAGGAGTAAGTAAATAAACAAACACAACAACCATTATAATCAGTATGCAGTAAAAATCACGAGAAAGCCCGTCACACAGCATCAAGAACGTAAACAACGGCTTAGAAAAAGTTGCTACTACTATATGCCAGATAACACATATCTCTAAGTATCTGATTGACGATTATCCTTAATCGAAAGTTCTCTCTCGTTATCGGGAGGTGTAATTAACTATAGGGGCTTGCGCCTATAGGAAATCAGAACTCAGATCATAAAGTCCTCGCAAAATTAGGGTGAAATCTCTGGGTAGTGTCTTATCTACAAACCCATCTGCCTTCCAAAATTTACCTCGAAACTTAATTCCGTTAAAACTCCCCCCGAAAAAAATAGCACATCGTGCGGAGGCCTGTGCCGAATTTTCGGAGCCCACATACCTATAATACTGTCTTTTTAATTATGATTTGCTTAATTCTATGGTATAACTCCTGTTCTACACAAGTATATGTATTCTGTCAAGCAATAAAGTAATGAGAAAAGTATCATTTGCATGAGTATTAAAATATCTTAAAATTACTTTAGTAGTACTTAATAAAACTACTCTATTTATCTAGTCAATCGATTAACAAAAAGTTTAGGCCATTCAAAGTAAAAAGCTAAACTTATAAAAGATAAATTTACTAATTTTAAAATCTTTGAACCTATGTTATTTAAAAACACATGCTTGCATAAGAGTGATATCTTCTTAATGTTTTTATAAATCAAAGCATCTTCTTCTTTTTCTTCTTCTCCTGCTACCTCTTCTTTTAATTCTGACAATGATCTTGATCCTTGGTATATCTCAAAGGGATGGGCATGGAAATATATTCCGTTGATCATGGGACTCCATCTCCCAGCTCTTGAATATGCCAACCATAGCTGTGTTGTAGTTAGCATTAGTGTTGATACTATTGTTGGTGCTAGAGCATCATATTGTCATAATGGGAATGCATCCTCTATTCTAGCCTTGTCGATTGCTGCCCAAAGTGATCTACAGAAATCTCGATCCAATCCACTCTTTCTTGGAGGTATGCCACCTAATCTCTTAACATCCTAAGATCTTTACTGCGCTTTTGGCTAGGTTAAGTTGGTTGGTTATATCCCTCGTTCTGCGAAGGAGATTTTAAAGAATTGGATCTTAGAACTAATTAGGGCAGAAATAGACAAAATTTACTCTCCCTTTGGGTTTCCTACTACCCCATAGATTCACACAATTCACATATAAGATTAAGATGTCCTAAATCCACATATGTTTACCCCTAAGCATGTACTAGATAGACTAGAAAACAACAATATCAAGCATTTATCCCACTACGTGGGGTCGGCTAGATGAATCCTTTTTCTTCATTGTGTCCTGTTAAGAGTCAAATTCTCATTTAAATCTAAAAAAAAGAAGTATTTTTTAATATTTTCTAACCAAGTCTTTTTTAAGTCCATCTCTACCTTTTTTTAACATAAGCCAAATCTAGGGTTAATTTTTAAAATTAATACAATTTAAATTAAATTTAAAAATTTAAAAGTTACCAAAGTCGCCCATTTGACGAGCGACTGGTGATTAAATATAAGTTTCCCGTTAGATGGGTGACTTATATGAAATAATTTTTTTTAAAAAGAAACATTAATCAATCAATGTTATGTTTTCGAAATATGTTTTATAGGTGTACAATACCAGTGGCAGCTTTGGTATTGATTTAGCTGTA